GGAGGAGACAAGGGAGCTAGAGAGCAGGAGGTCATGCGAGGAGCGTAGACTATGGTTTAGGGTGATATTTGGAGACAAGATTGGCGATGTAATTTGGGGCAGTTATAAATGGCTTTATATGTTATTGTTAATGTTTTGAATTGTATTCATTGCACAATGGGAAGCCAGTGCAGGGATTGGCAGAGAGGGGTGGCAGATATGGAACGGTTAGTAAGGTGGAACAGTCTGGCAGCAGCATTCCTGACAGACTGAAGAGGGGATAGCCTGCGATGAGGTAGGCCAATGAGGAGGGAGTTACAATAGTCAAGGCGAGAGATAACCAGAGAATGAATAAGTTCCTTAGTGGTTTCAGAGGTTAGGAACGGGCGTATCTTGGAGATGTTGCAGAGGTGAAGTCTATAAGATTTTGGCAGCGATTGGATTTGGGGCTGAAAGGACAGATGGGAGTCTAGGATTACACCTAGCACCCTGGCATGAGGGGAGGGACTGATGGTTGCATTATTGATCTTGATGAAGAAGTCAGGGGAGGGGGCACGGGCTGGAGGGAATACTAAGAGCTCAGTTTTGGAAAGATTAAGTTTGAGGAGGTGGAGTGACATCCATGCCGATATGCCACTTAGTAGGTTAGTAATGCGAGAGGAGACTGAAGGGGTGAGGTGAGGAGTAGAAAGATAGATTTGTGTGTCATCAGCATAGAGATGGTACTTAAAGCCATGGGAGTTTATCAAGTGACCAAGGGAGGAGGTGTAGATGGAGTAGAGAAGGGGTCCAAGGACAGAACCTTAGGGGACCCCTACTGAAAGCGGGCGTGGAGGAGCCAGAGTTATAGGTAACGCTGAAGGAGTGCTGCAATAGGTAGGAGGAGAACCAGGAGAGAGCAGAGTCTCGCAGGCCAAGAGAGTGAAGTTTTTTGAGGAGAAGAGGATGGTCAATAGTATCAAAAGCCGCAGCGAGGTCAAGCAGTAAGAGTACGGAGTAGCGGCCATTGGTTTTAGCTGTTAGTAGATCATTAGTGAGTTTTAGTAGGGCAGTTGCAGTGGAGTGTAGTGTGCAAAAATAGTATGAGACAAAGTGGAATTCCAGGATAACCCTAATAACTCCTAAAACTGTCCCCTCAACCCTCTGAACACCTATGTTTACTAACCTGTATAAGCAAGATGCATATATTTATCTATTTTCAGGCTGCTCCATTCCACTCACGTGCTCCCGTGTCAGCCTGTGGCTACAGGGGAGAGGAGAGAGCACTCAGACAATGGCTTATAATGCCTGGGAGCAGTGATGTCACATATAAGCTTCAATGGCCCATCTGTTGTTGGCACTCTCTCTTCTTCCCTGGCTGACAGAGGGAAGCCAGATCACATGACTGGACAATAGTAGAAATAGTATAAGTATACACATTTTTCTTTCACAGGATAGTGAGCATAGGTGTTGGGGGGGGGGGGGGGGGGATGGGACGGGACAATTTTAACAGCAGTTTGAATAATCCTGCTACTCTAATTTAAAGGCTACCTCCACTTGTAAAACAATTAAGCAAGGTTGCATACACCAACCCCCTAAACCCAAATCCGCCTTCCATCCTTTCCTAAATCGTGGGAAGCTTCTTACCACAGATTGATGTTTTGAATTCAGCACAACTGGGTGTGGATCTGTCCACACAGACATGTCATTCATTTACTTAGATCACTCAATAAAAACACTGTCACCCCAGCAGAGAGACCTAGAAGAATTCACCAGTAGTGTGGGGTGGGGTGATGTCATGGCAAGTGTCAATGCATCACTTCCTATAGCCTCTGTGTGGACATGGGGCTCGAGGTACACAATGCAGGTGTGCTGAGTGCTGTTGCAGTGCCCTGCAGGCCTCAATACAAAAACTTGGTAAATACACATTTTTTATTAAAGCTGATGCATTTACCAAATTTTTACAAAAGGTGGGCTATGCCTTTAAATAAGCGTTTCCCTCTGTTTGAATTTGCACAGTATTTTCTATGCTAGTAATGAAACAGCGAAGAAAAGGGTCTGAGCTTTGTGCAGGAAGGGGGAGGGGCTTCCTATTTGCAGGATGCAGGCACACAAATTAAATGTCACCTAACATTTAATCTGTGTTCAGGAGTGAAGAGTCACTATAGCAGTCTGGGGTTACCCTAGAGGAGCTGACACGAATGCAGCATACTTCACTCAGCAGCCGGGTTTATTGAAATCTGAATGGAAAATCCAGGATGTTTTATATATGAGTTTGCGCACTGGCTGTAGCAAAATGCAACCTGGCAATTCATTAGAAACCAGTGAAATCTTTGCAGCAGCAAACATAACAAATGACTTACATAATCCTATAGCAGGAGCAGGTATACTTTAAAGGTACTGAATGATGTCAGATGTGAAATGCTTTAAGACTCTTAGGTGCTAGATCCAACTGTTCTGCAAGAGCATGAATTGCAACCAGGAATTGTTTTTCCTTAAAATTGTAAAAATTCATTTATTTTGGCAACCTGTTTTTGGTCTGTCAAATTATTGTACATAAAAATGTAACAAACCTTTATGAGCTGTTTTTCAGCAAGTAATACACTGGAATGAAATATGGCATGCACTATAAGCCATTGTTACATAAAGTTAAATGGAACCTCAAATGTAATAGTCCTGTATAAAACATCATGATTAGATGTAAACCCAGTAACTAAAATCTGATGTAGTCTTTGATATGTTAAATTGACTGTCACTTAAAGTAGAACTATGGCCTCCCATAGAAAAAAAATTGCTCCAGTATTTATAGATAGGTATATCTGCACTTACATATAGTCTGCCTGGAGATCCATAAACACCTGTTGATTCTGCCAGTAAAGTCCTAATGCAGCTTCTTGATTATGTTCTGTGATCTTTAGCTCCATCTAGTGGCCAAAATGTGATATTCTTTCTGAACTACCTTAAAGCGGAGTTCCAGCAGTTTTTGTTTTAAATAAAATTCAGCAGCTGCAAAAACTGTAGCTTCTGACTAAAACACATACTTACCTGTCCTGGAGTCCATCAATGTTCTCACACGCGCCATCCCTTCTCCGCTTCTCTCCTTCATGGGGCCAGCATCTCTACTGTGGGCACCAGGTTGTGATAGCGTATGGCTTCACAGCCTGGTGCCCACTGCGCATGCTTGAGTTGCGCTGCACCTCCTAAGTGATCCGGCAGTCTCCTGGGACCTGCGAAAGGTCCACTTTGCCGTGGGGAACTGAGCCGGAAGTGGGAGCGGGTACCTGTCAAAATCAGGTATCCGCTCACCCCTCCTCCCCAAAAGGTGCCAAATATGGCAGTAGGAAGGGGGGGAGGCAAAGAAGCGTAGATTCCGCTTTTGAGTGGAACTCCGCTTTAGTTAGAATTAAGGGACAACACAGGAAATAATTGTATTAGTTAAACTACAGGGACGGTATGTGCAGACCAGACAAATGCTTGTGACATTCACCCAAAAAATGTTTTATAAATAAATAGACTTGATAGTAACTGTATTTGGTACTTGTTCAGACTTTCATACAAGAGCCTTTTGTTTACTTTAACTCTTAGCTAAACTGTAGAATAAAAGTATTGCAGCCCATCAGTTGTTTTCAGGCTTTCCTTATTTTGATATAGTGATCCTGCCAGTAACCCAATTCCTGTCAGTGAAAACACTCACTCACTGTTTCTATGAAGAATCCAAGGACATTAACACAGAACACCTCTCTTGGCTCCCCTTCTTCTCCATAACATAGTGGGGAGATGTTCTGTAGTCCACATAGATACAGTATTTAGTAACAATGTAACTGATTAGACTGCAGCTCTGGCAAACAAAGGAAGTTACCAACTCACAGTATGATGGCCATGAGCAACAGATTTTTTTGCACTCAGTGAACAGATACTGTATAACACAGCCTTTTTCAACCAGCATGCCCAGGGGTGTGTCTTGATGTTTCTTCAGGGGTGCCTTGGCAAAAGGTCTAAAAATTGCCCAAAAATTGTATAAAAGCGAGCAGGTGGTCAAGCCTGCCTTTTAGCTACACAAAGCCATAGGTTTTCATTGTGCACCATTACAACCTTCTAGCCACCAACGTGCTAACAACCAATGATGCCATTAGTTGATATGGAGGATGATGGTGGCCTGCATGGCATCCTTGTTTGACCCTCCCCTGCCCCTCTGTCAGTAATGCGGTCAAATTAACTGAGTGATAGAGAGAAACAGGGAGAAGAGAAGCACTGAAATACGATTTAGTATCAGTGTGCAAGTCTATTTGCTTTGGAAAAATAAATCCCCTCTAACATTGGTTGTCCTACATATGTGGATGTTGTTGCATTAGGTAAAGCTATTAGAATAGTTTTTTACATTTTAAAATGGAGTGCCTTGAGAATATTCATAACTTTAAAGGGTGCCTTGACTGAACAAAGCTTGAGAAACACTGGTATAACACAATGCTTTCAATGGTACATTCAACAGGCCAAAAGGGAGAAGATAATAGAGGTTCATTGTTTGTGGTTTCCATACACTTTAAACTTATAAGAAAAAAATCATACCTGTAAAAAAAAAAAAAAAAAAAAAAAAAAAAAAAAAAAAAAAATCACAGGAAGACTACCCTCACCCTCATGCTGAGGGACACCACTTTGCTGAGGAATCCTTGGGTGAAGTCTCTTTCATAACTGACACGTTCAGGACTGTTGAACCCCTGTGTCCCCCCCTATAGCCCCTATTGCTTTCCCCTGCTGACGCCCCATGTTACCACTGTGCCCTGTAATATAGCTGCTGCTGGAACAAGTGCATGTGAACTGGAAGTGGCCGCAGGAGATTGTAGGTTTGAGATGCAAAATAAACATGGTAACAGTTTATAATACACCGTGTTTAAACAACCTATATGTCAGTCAGTAGGTTTTACATCTACCTGAAGGAGTCATTTTTAAACAAATATAACCTGAAATTCTACTAACATATTTATTAGTGTGACAATGTTTCCGGTCAATGCAAAACAAGACAAAAACTAAACAGTTCATCCCTGTCACCTTGACTGGGCCTTTTTCTCCAAATCTTGCCGGATTTCAGGCGGAAATTCACTTTTGTTCTTCATAAAACAAGGTAGACAAAATCGTTTGGAGTAAAAGAGGCTGCATTCCTAATAAAAATAAAAAATGGCAAAGTTACAAGCTCTCAAGTCTTCAGACCCAATCTGTCAAAGACACCTATATGATCTTGGTGTACATTCCATTCCAAACCATGACCATCAATATGGAGTTTCTCTCCCTTTGCAGTTATACCCACCATTCCTCTTCTGAGAATACTTTCCAGAAGATTTGGATTATATCTGACCACATTTGGGTTATCTACCCTTGCTTCCTATGTAGCAGCTGGGACGCAGACATGGATAGGGGCTGAAGGTTTGTATATGTTATAGGGAAACAAACTTTGCTGTTTTCTCAGATCTTAAGTTCTGTTCTCGGTCTTGGAGTGAGGAGGCTTTGTAGAGTTTTGGGTGGGATAAAGGGATAAAGCTTGCAGTCCCCGGGTACCTGTTCTCCAAACTTCACTAATTAGTCAGCTGTCCAAAAGGCCTTTATAGCTGTGAGCCCACTGAGGTTCATTGGCTGTCCCAGCTTTGTGGGAACTGCCGGGTGAAAAGGGGGACTGCTAACAACTTTGTCAGATTGTTTTGTTCATTTTATGCTATGAACTTGCTGTGCAAAGTACGCCTGCATTGAACTGTGTTTGTTTTCTGCCTTGCTAAACAAAAGTGCAGGACAAACCCATTTAGACTTTTTCAGGTGTGCCCGTCTCGTAAATGGTTACTGCTGCCATAGCCAGTTGAGCCTGTCCCCCTTAGACCTCTGTTCTAACTCTTCCCCACATTATGCAAAGTAAAACAAAGTTGAAAAGCTTTTGCAACTTTGTGCAATGGCTTCCCCAAACAGTTTATGGGACAAATAAAAATCTTAAAGTGTATCTAAACCTTATTTTTAAAATGTAATAAACAAGTCCTATCAATGCACGGACACATTTTTTTCAGTTTAGCTTTCATCCCCATTATTTTACCTCTTGGAAACTTTTGATCCTGACAGTTAAAGCCTTTGTAGCATCTATAGAATAGTGACAGTGCTGCCCCAGTGCCTCCATAAAGTGAAGCAGCATTGTCACCCTAGGAATGTGCACTCCTGCTGTATAATACCAGCGCCCGTGTCTACAAACAGCACATTCAGCTTGGTAGTGCACAGCAAGGGGTTCCAAAGAAACAGAGATTATCATTCTATACTGCCCATACCCTGTGTTACAGACAATGACCCCAAGAGCGTGTATTGTTCTTTTGGACCAGCAAAAAACTACACTTCCCAAAATATTCCCACTTTAACAGCTGTGGGGCAAAGCTGAACAGGACATGATTCCTATGTCACTGCTCTGAAATGAGTTCCTGCATACCCCAATGGTGCATTAAGAGGAAGTAGAAAATAAAAATGCAGGGCCATACAGCATCATGAATTTTACTGCATATTAATATGTGTTTCTGGATATATTAAAATTAAAGAAAAAAAAAAAAAGGAAGCTTTTACATTTTTATATTGTCCTGAAGATTCCTGGGCTTTGTTGGAAGGGTTTAGTTATACTCTGAAAAAGTGTTATACACATTACTAAATACTAATTATTAATAAAAAACAAAATGACCAATCACAATCATTCATTTGCTTATAAGCCAACTAAGCATAATGGAACACATAATGCAGTTCTTACCGTGCCAACACAGACCACTTGTTTTACATAAGCTGCATATTGAACCAAGAACCAGAACTTTTTCTCTCTCAGGAGTGAAAGGATCCACCGTGACATAACATTCTTCCAAAAATCTATAAAAAACATGCAAAAACAATATATAAAGAAAAAAAAAAAAAAAAAACAATATGGCTGATAAATTTAGTCATTATTATTTCTTATTTTCTAAACGAGACAACTTAGTTTAGGATGGAATTGTTTTTACAGGACACTGAGCAACAAAAACAACTTCTCGCTACTTACATTACAGAGTGTGCATTTGGTGGCCTTTGGCCAAAATAAGTATATGGAACCGATAGTCCGCATAGGTGGCATACAAATATTCCTTTTGGAGGATGTGATTCACCCAGATCCATCTGAAACCAAATAGTATGGTTATAAGCAAGACCAAATACAGTCAACTACGCATTCATTTACCTAGACTTGCAGCAAATACAAAATAAATCATAAATATACGTAGAAGAGGAAGGCCCTGTGACATCATCAGAAGACCCTTGGAAAAAATGTTTATACACGCACAACAGCATCCTAAGCCTAAGTGCGATCCTTCAGTTCATCTTTGGGCTGCCCATCCGCATACTTCCTACAAAACTCACGGGCAGGTCACCCAACTAATGGACGACAACACTTCTGTAAATTATGTGGCAGTAGCTTAGAATTGCCAGCCTGCAATATGAAGTTCTGTTACTTGTAGGACGTCAGCTAAGAAACTTTGCAGAAAACAATTTGCTTAAATATAGTTAAACCTACATCATAAAAAAACTATCAAGAAATGCTGCATTACATGTTGTTCATACTAGTGGTGCACCGAAATGAAAATTCTGGTGCCGAAACCGATACCGAAAATTCAGAATGCATGTGGCCTAAAACCGTTTTTTGTATTTTTTTTCATGTACTTTCATGTATATTTTTTTTTTTTTAACTTATGATTTTATTGCTATCACATAGGGGACCAATAGCATATGAGTTCTCTTTGTAGGGGGGAGGGGGTGAGGGGCAGTGTGTGCAAGGAGGGGGCAGGCGGAGAGCAGTGTAAACAGTGAGGCTCCCTCACAGGCTGTCACTATGGCCCTGATTCACTAAGATGTGAGTCTACTATCAGATTCTGACCATTCAGGCAGACTCAATTAAATCAATCAAGACCTGTCAGTCTTCTGAGCGGTGTCTAGCAATCTCACTAACCAACGTCTACTTTGCTATTAGTAAAATGTGGAATCAGATCTGGCACATTTTTAGGTGCAATACCGGATATATTCACTAGATGGCGCACAAGCGCGGGCTTTATTAGCATTGGCGTTTTCCTATTAGCAAAAGAGAATCTTTAGAATGTAATAAATAGTACACCTATATTAGAATTTTTTTTTTTTCTGTTTCTTTAAAATGATCAGGAAACTAATGCATTTACTAATGAATGTCATACATTCTATTTTCAAATGTTAAACATTTTCACACTTATATCTCAAATCCCAATATAATTATATATCTTCATTCTCTTTAATCACGTAACTATTTTATGTTAAAGACAAGTGCAGCGCTATGAATGCATGTGATCAATAATGAACGCATGTAAAAACCAAAAAGTGCAAGGAATTGCAACAATGATGTAAAATGGTAAATGGTGCTAAAATAAGTTCATGTAATCATTCCTGAATAATGGAATGTCCTTCATGTCAGAGTACCAACTCAGAGAGTACCTATGAATGGCACGTGTGGTCTCTCCGTGACGGACAGTAGTGCATGAACTCGTGAAAGGTAAACCACCCTTGGGACTGGTCTACACTCACCAGAACAAAAGTATTAATGCGCATGGGTTATACACATCACACATCTGGGGGTGCAGCGGTATGCTGGCAGCTATGGGTTAGTCATCCAGCTCCATCCATCCATCAGGGTGGGTGCCCAAATGGTCCTGGGGAGGAAATTTAGCTCAGCCACAGGAGCCAGAAAGGTGCTTAATAGTGTAGTACTCTTTCACAGGGGTGGATGACCTTTCACGAGTTCATGCACTACTGTTCGTGGTTATATTTATCTTGTGTAATACCATTTTACTAGTCTATATCATTTGACCAGCGCTCGCTTTATCATTTTTAAACAATGTAAACTATTCTACATTGTAGCTCAAACTGTGTCTCCCACAGTGGTTTAGTGGTTAGAGCTCAGAACTTACAGCACTTGGGTCATGGGTTCTAATCCCAGTCATTGCTACATCCCAGTTTCCATGCTTTCCCTGTATGGATGTGTTTCTGCCAACACTTAAAAGACATGCTGTTCATTGGGCCTAGTTAAATGGCTGAGTTTCTGTCCTTAGATTATAAGCTCCTTGACATTTATGAACGTTAAAAAAATGGAGATCAATTTTCTGGGTTGTGTCAGTGCCAGGAATATTGATCAATCAATTATGATTTTGCCTAATGACTAGAAAGTGGTTGAATGTTACCTGCGTCCTGTTCTTCTGCCAATTAGGAAATGTGCAAGTTTCATGCTGTGTATATTTCATTGTAACTTTTTTCTCTTCTTTTAAATCTGTCTCTCCTTATACAACTTGCCCCCTCCCCCACCCCATCATCACCTGTCCCATATGCAAATCTATGGATCACCGCCCCACTCTTTAACTATATTACTGATCAAGTGAATGTGTCTCATTTTTGCTGATTGTATCTCACCACTAGTCTGATTGAATTCACAATTCCTGGTCAGTCCCGTTCCCTGACCTCTAATAACCTTTAGGGCCAGTTCACACTACATGTGTTTCAGTTGCTTATTTGGCATCACAAACGCACAGAAAGAAGGTTATGTGGTTGTCAATGTCATAGTTCACATCAGCGCTTGCATTTTCAGTGCATTGCAGGTGCTGTAAACAAAGTTGACCCACGCTGCATTGTTTCTGCACAGAACTGTACTGGAACACATTGAAACGTCCTTGAATGTACTAAAACGCACATGTCCCTAATTAAATTGAATAAAAAGAAAGTAGAAAAAACTAACTGGAAGGGATACAAAAATGCAATGCAACGTGTCCAAAACGCATCCAAAATGTACTGGAACACACTAAAACATGCATGCCAAAAGGGCATGCAAAAACAGATCAGGAACACATCTAGACTGTTTCTATAGTGTGAACTGGCCCTTAGGACTTGTTCACACCATTGGTGGTGCAGAAACGCATGCAAGAACACACATTTTCCAGCACAGCAAAGAAATGCAATGCCCTTTGCAGATGTGCGCGGTTAGGTGCAACACACTTTTAAAATAATATGCCTGCAGTATTTTTGCAGGTTCCCACACATTAGGCAGGCCATTGAAATTAACGAGCTGAGGAAAAAAAAAAAAAAAGTAAAAAAAATGCCCCATTCACACAGCTTTATTTATGAACAGTACAGTTTTCTCATTTAGATTTCACAGGAATATGGTTGGGATTCTGGTGTCCGTTTATGACACAGAGAATAGCTGCGATTCAACAGATCTCAGCTATTCTCTGGTCATTCACAGTTTATGACACTCAGGAGATCATGTCAGCCCTTCTCTGGAGATCTGTGTTCTCCCTCCAGATTCTCTCCAGCCCAGAGCTGAAGAATCAGAGGGACCGAAAACTAAGCAGAGATAATTTACCTCTGCTTAGTAAACTGATCTTTTACTGTAATCTTGTGAGATTATAGTAAAATGAGCCGTTTTTTCAGAGTTTGTAGACCGTTCTCCAGCGTTTGGAGAGACCGTTCTCCCTTCGTTCGGAGAACTGCTTCATAAACTGCATTCACAGGAGAACTGTGTTCTCCGAGAATGCCGGAGAACTGAGCAGCGATCTATTACCGCTGGTTCATAAACGGACACCTATGTCCATTAATAATGTTTTTAGTGTATTTTTACCATAAATATAATTTGGATATTTTCTCTGGCGGTGGGGGGGGCTGTCAGGTATGCTGTACGGGGCCCCATGATATCTAACAGTGGCCCTGGGTGTATGCTTGTGTCTGTGCCACCTGTACAGTTAGGAAGAACCTTGAACCTCTGCTATGTACCTCAATGGATCTAGGAATTGGACATGTTTTCAACGGAAAATACAATTATTAGTAATGTTTCCCCAGCAAATGAGGATCAGCTCCTCGGTGGAGAACAGCGATCTCGCCATGTCCAGATGTGGTCCGGAATTCCACAAAAGAACAATTCACAAAACTAAAAAAATAGACTTGCAAATTACCACTAAACTCTCCTAACTACACTCCCAGCTGACCCCGCCCCCTACCTATATAAGAAATGTCAGCTAGCCTTTTCTTCACAAGGCTGGAAGCCTCGGACGGGAGCGGAACTTTTTTTTTTTTTTTTTCGGGTCCCTGCCGCCGCCGTGATTGACGTTGGATCTACTTCAGGGGACATTGTTTTAATAAAAGGACTTGTCAAAGACCCTGTACTGTTTTTTTTTACACCACACTTAGTTTTTTTGTGAATGAGTCGCGGGACCATGTACCGCAGACTCATTCATGTAGGGGGGGGGCGGGATCTGGGGGCCCCCTTGTTAAAGGGGGCTTCCAGATTCTGATAAGCCCCCCGCCCGCAGACCCCCACAACACCACCGGCCAGGGTTGTGGGGAAGAGGCCCTTGTCCTCATCGACATGGGGACAAGGTGCTTTGGGGGGAGGGGGAGCCCCCCCATGCCCCAAAGCACCCCCCCCCATGTTGAGGGCATGTGGCCTGGTATGGTTCGGGGGGGGGGGGCGGCGCTCGCTCGCTCCCCCCCCCCCCCCCCCTTTCCTGACCTGCCGGGCTGCATGCTCGGATAAGGGTCTGGTATGGATATTAAGGGGGTCCCCACGCTGTTTTTTTTTTTTCAGCGTGGAGTTTAAATATTCAGCGAAGGGCTGGAGTTGGGAGGGGGGGACCCACGCTTTTTTTTTTATTATTTATGCAATAAAGGGAATTATTTTACATTCAGCTGTCAGTGGGAAACCCCCTGACAGCTGAAACATTAACACATGGCTGATGCTCCTAAAAACCCGCATGAGTTATGTTATCAACTCATGCGGCGTTTTAGTAGTGAAAACCAATGCAGCGCTCATGTTTCAGCTGTCGGCGGAGTTCCCCCATTGACAGTTGAATGTCAAAGTATTGCAGGGATTTATAAACAGTTTTTTTAAATAACCGGCGTGGGGTCCCAACTCTCATCCATACCAAGCCCTTCGGGTCTGGTATGGATATTAAGGGGTAACTCCACGCCGAAAATTTAAAAAAACAGCAGCGTGGAAACCCCCCCAATATCCATACCAGACCCTTATCCAAGCATGCAGCCCGGCAGGTCACGAATGGGGGGGGGACGAGCGAGCGCCCCCCCCCCCCCTGAACCATACCAGGCCACATGCTCTC